CTTGGCCGGTGCATATCAACTGGCCTATACAGTCGAAGCTCTCGTAAGCGGACACCCTCGGGACGCGAAAAAAGTGTCCGTAACTGGAGCTGGCCGCTCACGAGAATGCTTCTCGTCAGCGGCCACTAGAGGTGTTGGGGATAATGGCCGCTTTAGGGATCTTATGCATGTAAGTGTTGTTTCGAAATGTAACCGGATGTCGATGGATGACGACAAAACAAACACTGAAATATGGTACTGTAATTACTGTAAAATCATTGTGACGAACGGTGATATGAAGTTCATTGATAAAAACAAGATACAGAGGTTGTTAACAGGATTTTCCTCGGGGTGTCCGCTTACGGGAGCTTAAAAAAAAAAAGAAAAAGTCTAAGTCGCAATCTCTGAAAGTGTCCCCGGCCGCTTACGGGAATGTCCGCTTACGAGAATGTAAAAATACAGAGTTTGTATTGGAGTTAAAACGAGGTTTCAAACAAGGCGGCAGTAAGTAGAGCTGTCCGCTTACGAGAGTGTCCGTTAAGAGAGCTTTCACTGTACTTGCAATGTACCGGCGGCCAAGAGAGCCAATCAGAATATTAAAGTTTCCTTGATCATGGGGGAATCGAGTGGAAGTACTTTAAGGGAGACATCCTAGTTTTGACGGATGTCTCCATCATCAGCAATACTCGTTGGGCGGTCGTGTGAGGTTTCGGATAGATAATGTGTGGAAAATATTCCACATTATAATTCCATACAAATACTGTCGCACTTGGATTTAAGTAAACACGATACTATACTTACTACGCACAGAAAAACTCCCTTGAATCCTGGAAATTATAGAAAAAATTGTCGCTGGACAAACGGAGAGATATGTAAGAAAAATATGATAGAAACAGCATAAAGCATGTAAAGCATAAAAATAAAGTGATGTTTATTCCACTCGAATTTACGGGCCTTTCTAGTTAAAATAATTAATAACGAAAATTTTTATTTGGTGTTCGAGAATAAAACTACACCAACTAAAAAATTACTAGGAGGTGTTGGATATAGAAAATATGGCGCTTCTCTCTGTAAAATCTTTTTCCTCTTGAGTCACTGCTAAACTAACTGTGAGCTCGACGGACTGATTGCAAGACTGTTTTAGCTTTACTGTAAATTTGCCTTGAATTATTCAGGATTCGTTGACATCTATCGTACATGTTCCACTATAATGACCGCAGACGATCTTCCTCAATCGTTCTTACTGTTAGTCACCTGTGTCGTATATCATGAGAAAATGGTTTTCAATTAATCATGTGTCGGTCAGTCTTCTTTCAAAGCGTGGAAACGTTTCCAAATACTGTGAGTCCGACCCACGGTTAAAACCAATAACAATAAAACCTTAATAGCTCTTAAGTTGATAATTAATGCTTCCCTACCATGCTACCCAACCTCTACTTATTTCACTGTTTAATGTGTTTTATGATAAAAAAGAGTATACTATACCCAGCACCAAGATGCAGAGCAATACCTCTGTCTAGTTCTAAATATGTTGTCAAATGAATTCCATTTATGCATTCCAATTAGTTTTTCAATTTCGATTTCAACGTGATCTGGCTACAGATTTCTTAAATCCGAATAAATTATGCTGTTCATTCTGCAGCTGAAAAACGTTGGAATCAACTGAATAAACATTTTAATATCTTCTAGAATCAGGCACGTGTTTACGTCATGCATGTTTTTTCAAGAGTGTTGTGAGAGCTCTCAGCTGCCTTCATAGCGATTCATTTGAGTTACTGATAACATTTGTCTACGCAAATGCCATTTTCCTTCACGTCCGATTCTCAGTTAACACATTGTAATTAACTACTGACGAACTGGGTCATAAAAATTGAGAGTCAAACTTCTCTAGTAGTTATTATTAAATCCATTTATCGTTGATCCCACAGTTGAAGTTGGTAATTGTTTCAAGATACAAGTTCCTGTTAGAGAAATGATTAACGGTAGATGGGAACAACTATGAGCTTTGTGGTTTAGAGGCTTCAGGTGAAAGCAAACATTAATCAGCTGCATAACAATCGGATTCTAGCTTGATGTTCTAACAAAATGTTTCATAACTCTCCAAACAAACGTCTTCTTAATAAAGAGATTATTTGCTCCCGATTTCTATCGCATGATAGTGGGCGTAGTCCGGTCCGAGTTCACTATCACGGATAGATATCGGGAGCGGATAATCGAATTGTTTCAGTATAAATTCACTTACTAGTCCTTCAAAACTTACATAATAAAACTCAAACACGCAGCTGCCATTATGTTAACAACTGCACACTGCTAGGCTCCTGACTGTCAACAACAGAATAGATCGTGAGTAGTGTATGACCAGAATGAGAACGCCATGCGTGATAGAACCCGAGATAGAACGTTGAGAGATTCAGTCACACTAACATTGATTACGTGCCGCCCGATATATTGCCTTGTTTTACACCAGCCACTCACGCACTCGTTCACGTTTACTACGGATACAAATTTGTACCGCTTTCCATTTGATAAAAATTTCTGATTTGAAATTCCGAAAATTTCGCGTGCGAATGGAACACAAATCTCTGGAAAAGAGGAAAACCTCAAGAGGTATACCCAAATTATCTTAACAGGAATTTCCATTCCATTTGCCAGTTTTCCTCTCGGAATTTCCGGAATTTTCGGTTGAATAGTTCGCATTTCAGAAATTCAACAATTATCGGATTTTCGGGAAGTTTTTCCAGGAAATTTTTCGTACCATTTGCTACCGTTTCGAAACATCCCGAATTTTTGGTTGAATGGAAAGCGACTTAAATTTTGTTTCAGCGAATTTGTCAAGAACAAATCAGAATTTCTCACAAAAGCCACCGCAACTGCCTCACATTCTGCACTAAAAATCACTCATAATTACCCTAATTGTGTCAGTTGTAAGTTGAATACTAAATTGCATGCTTGCATATAGTTCCAGAAATCGAAACGCTGTATCCTAAACTGAAACATGCACATTATTTGCTCACAAATAAAATTTTATGCGACAATTGAACCATGTATTTACATAATGATTTTACCCATTGCGCGAGGAGAGGTTGTGAGCTTGGTACCGAGGATAATGTTTTGCCCTCACCTTTACAGGCAATACATATTTAATGATAATTTGTATTGATATTTTCACTTGGTGTTTTTCTGAGTTTAATAAACCGGCTATGTGTAATAATTTTCACATAGCCATTTTACTCCATGCTGTGTTTTGTATTCCCTTTACGAACAGAGCTCAGCACATATTTTATTTTGGCTAATTTTATTCTTGCAATTCTGCCTGGGGAGATTGAAGCATAAATATGAATTTATTCGTTCTTAATCGTTTCGGTAGTGATTTAATTGCAAATCTATTCTTTGTGTCAACAGGTTTGGGAGAAAGCCGCGACCCGACCACTTACTCCTGAACCTGGGTGAGAGAAGACGCACGATATTAGACGAGATGAGAGGCCTTTTACCAAAACACGCGTGACATTTTGCGCATCGGTGGTGTAATTGCCTACACTTAAACAAAACTGATACAGTTTCGCAAAAAATAATATTAGACACCTTGAGCAATTTAGCTCTTTTACTCATTAATAATACTTTGGCCAAATCCAAGTGAACATTGCCAGCTGTATTTACTCTTTTTTTTCAAGAATAACTTTAGGGGCGTTTCGATATCAAAACCGAATAAATATTATTCCGCTTCATATATCTCACTCTCAGAGAAAAATGTCGGATATCATCTTGTAAGGAGTTGCGCGAATTTTTACGGTGGTGTCAACATTTGTTTTATATTATACTGAACTAAAAGAAAAAATTTTCCCCGATATTTATGTTAATTACGTGTTTTTGTTTTAGTCCCAATGTGATATAGAAATTCTCAGCTGTGTTTAAACTTTTTGTTTGAGTTATGTTGATTACGAGTTCACGAAGGATATCCAGTTTTGTTGTTACTTACGCTGTTCGAAGTGGCTCGTTACTTCATTACAGGAGAAATTCTGAATCGAGGGAAGCATTATAGGCGGAGCAAAATTTGCTTTTCAAGACTAAGCCAGGTTGAAGAGTGAGTTTTTTCATCCGAATTCATCAGAATTTCTTAAGTATAAAACGTAACAATACTTCTTATTCATACACTGTCTTTCAATTCTGTTTTAATTCTTCATGTTGTTATAACTCAGAAGGTTTTGTAACTCAGAAGGTTTTGTGAATACTCAGTACTTGTGGGATAGGAAACTATTATTCGTCCGATTATTTCTCCACCAGAACCTCTAAGAGGAGTAAAAACTGGTTTGAAAAACAGATAGTTCGAGAGGTCAGGGGTAAAATTTAGTGTTCGAAAGAGGGAACGAAACAACTTATGGCTCGAGTTATCGGAGATTTAAATTATCGAGGGTTTCAGAAATCGGGATTCTACGGAGTTTTACTTTCCTTTTTGCTATTAGGCCATCGAAAATGTTTCCGGGAGTATTTTTTCCACATTCAGACTAAGAAATAAAACTAGCTGGGGCTATGGCTTGTGACTAAAATCGGCTCTGTTTGGCTTTACACAGCACCATGCATGCTTCATATTTTTCTTTCAAAGAATAATCCACCAAACTAAACTTGCGATATTCCTCGAGACACTGAAAAGACAGAAACAGAGCTAGATCGGTCAGGTTATGGGTGAATACTCTAGAGCCTCGTGTGCGTTCTTCGTGCGCCTTTCTCTGCTTTTCTCGGACCTCTTTCTAGCCCTTTGAATCGACGTATATTTGGCTCCGTCAAGAAACGATTGTCATTGAATCATTGCTTTTGCTGCCATTGTCCCAGAACATGAGCGAATATCAGGCAGCAAATACTGCGAGAATCATATACCTTAAAAGTCTCACTCGCTTATGCTGGAGGTGCAAATGGAGGTGCAAATGGCGAGTGCCCATGATTTCAATTTTGGCTTGCTGACGTACCGACTTTCTAACGCTTTGTAGTTGATTGCCTAATCATTTGCATTTTCTTTCAGAGTAAAGATGGCAAAGTTGGCATCTCTTTTAATAGTGGTGTTGATCATTGGAATGATTTCCAGTTCTGCTAATGGATGGACGTCGGGCAGACGTCGGCGACGATTTAGGATCAGGTTTCCACCTGTTCAGTCCGGCTCCGGCTCCGTCTCCGGCGACAACCACAACGCAGGCCCCAACGACGACGACACAGCCCCCGACGACAACTCAGCCCCCGACGACAACTCAGCCTCCGACGACAACTCAGCCCCCGACGACAACTCAGCCTCCGACGACAACTCAGCCTCCGACGACAACTCAGCCTCCGACGACAACTCAGCCTCCGACGACAACTCAGCCTCCGACGACAACTCAGCCTCCGACGACAACTCAGCCTCCGACGACAACTCAGACCCCGACGACAACTCAGCCCCCGACTACCGCAGGCCAAGAAGAAATTGATTCTGATCTGCTTGAAATGTGTGAAGACTTATGAATGATTAAAAAATATAGGTCAACATTACCGTGTTTATTAAATATGAGAAGTTGACTGAAAGGTGCTGGGTTTTGTTTTACTGTTTTCTCTCTTTGGTTATATAGTCACAGAATTATCATTATAGCGAGAAAAAAATGCTACTAATATTTTTATCGGTTGTGATTTACCCCGTGCTTTATATATGTAACTGTTACTTTTTTCGCCATCACTTTTTCAGAAAACGTAGCCTGAGAATTACATGAGTTGAAACCAGTGTGTATAATAATCTCACCTTACCAGTTATCTTTATTGAGTTTATATGATACGGCCTATGTACATTAAATTATCTTAATTCAATCTCTGTACAATCAACAGCAAGGCTAAAAGATTTTAAAAAATTGCCAAAACACTGTTTCACGTGAATTCCTTGTGGAAAACCGATACATTCGAGATTTGTTTTTGTCTTCATTTCTCCTTCTATCTTTGCTATGGGATCGACGGCACGGTGGAGCGGACTGGATTCGATTACTGACAGTGGTCTTTCTGATATGGTATCCGAGCCAAGGCGCTTTAAGGATGGTTGGCATACAATCATCCCGGTCCGACTGGGTTGATCACCCTGGTCGTTTTAGATTGGTTCTAACCATCAAGACGACGTCGAATCGGGTGACGCACGCCACCACTGACTTGATAAACCAGGTGACTGGGACAATCACAGCCGGCGCCACCTGGGACGAAGACGGTTACATAGTCCATGCGCCTAAACAAATTTTAGAAGAAGAGGAACGTTTTTGCAAAGAAATTTATCAAACTAAAAATGTCTGTCCAGAATCTGCCAATCTCGAGCATTTTTTTGACGACCTGAATACTCTCAAACAGGAAGAAGCACGGGACACCTGCGAAGGGCTGCTACGATAAAGCCCCGGCCAAACGATCACAACTTATCAACATATCGCGACATTGTTGGCGCAGCATTTGCACTTAATTGCGGAATGTACCAATTCGCTGAGCCAATTTAAGCATAATAAAACACCTGTTTCCGACGGCTTTGCTATTGAGTTTAACTGGTTCTTCTGGAATGCCATTGGTCGAATCATGGTTGATAGCTTTAATAATGCTTCTGAAAATGGTAACATGTCAATCACACTAAAACTCGGTATTATATCGTTAAAGATGATTTCCAGTCCGTACTGCGCACTCTCTAGAGTTTGTTTGCGTTTTCTCTTTTGTTTCATGTAAGACATCACAAAATGTAAACATTTCGCAACTACTTACATGAAATAAATTCAAAGTTTCAAAACAACCGCCATTATGGATGCAATGCGGTCGAAGCTTTATGCTTCGTTCTTTCTCACATTACTTGATGAAACAACTTCGCAGCTATAAAAATCTATGAAGCTGTTGGAAAACGAATTTGAAAGGCCTCAAAGATAAGGTATGAGTTTGTAACGAATAACATCAATTCGCATTCCAAGTCAAGGGTAACCTGTAATGGCCAAGTACTCCACACTTCAATAAAGTCTTTCCTTCATTCATTCATTCTCCATTCCGGAGGAGTAGCAGCAATCCTGGTTGCTAGGAAAACTGGAATAAGCTTTGTTGTTGTCAAGTAGTTGACCTCAATGCAGACTTTATGCAGCGCTCTTTTGTGATGCTCATATCTTGTCAACCTTTGTCTACATTTAGTATTTATTATTATACATTGAACTCACTATCTCTTTTCTGATTGGCCGAAAGCGTACAGTGAGTTTTCGAAATCAGCGCCTATGACGTCATCTAGCTGCAGATTATACATTAATCATGTTCGTTCAATGTATAAAACTATTAGATTCGGTTTTTGTGATATCCAGAATAATCTAGGTCTCGGTAAGGGTTATCAGCCGAAGCCTTCAACCTCTATCCTCGACCTTGATTATTCTGGATATCACAAAAACCTCATCCAATAATTGTTTATTATTCACAACAAAAGTTAAACGCCTGCCCCTTTTATTTTACACGTTGTTGACACAATCATTTGATGTTTGAAAGAAGGAAAATTAAATGTCCGAAAAAACAAACAGCTGAAGTTGCCACCGCATTTAAGGAAAGTAAAGTTCATTAGTAAAGGACAAGAGCTGTGCCTGAGGTGGAAAGCTCTCGCTTTATTCCAGGAGTATATCGAATATTAAGGTAGGTACCCCATGTGATAAGCTATCATTTCTTATCCATAAACCACTTGGTATAAACTAGTTATTAATTTGGTTTGCAAACATTCGAATAAATTCCCAATTTCTCTGGTAAATTCGACGGTGAAATCTTGCAAACCTGTCCTTACTAGTACTTACTTAGAACGGCTTTGAAGTCTTGGTGTATATATATGCGGTCGAATATTAGTTCATGTCATAAAAGGTCATGGCTAGGAAGACTCCCTGCCAGGGAAGGGAGGGGGCCGTTACTAATTTCACGAGTTATGCTGTTCAGCTGTTAGTGGATTTTTGCGACAACCCAAGCCTTATGAAACGTTACGGTACCTCTTAGCACTGGCGCCTATTTTTCTACGTTATTGACCTTATATTATGATGAATTGAGAGATTTCGAGCTTATTTTTCGAATTCTGAGAATTGCAACATCACATCTCTCCACGTTTTGAACGTAACCCGCAATGTTCTTCTGTTTAAAGGGCTAACTAGTGAAGATGCCCTAACACACTTTTGTCAACGTAAGTATTTTTTTAAAGAAAATATTTTCACATGTTGCACTGTAGTTTTGCAATAACTCCAGCCATATGAAACGATGACCGAATTGATAGCTTTCGAGTTTGATTTTCGACTGAAATGAGCATTTTAACAGACGATCTCCTTGCCTTTTGAACGTCACACAGAATCTATTTACCTCCCCTTCGAGGATCAGATAAGATAAGTAAAGGGAGCCTAACACGCCCTTTACAACGCTAGGCTTTTTTACAAAAAAAATTGTTTGTCTCCGCCTGTTAAAAGATGGTTTTTTTGGTCGGTCGAAATGGAATGTCAACCCCAATTTGCTTAAGGTAAATGTTCTGACGTCAGATTTGATATTACAACTGCATGAATGACAACCTTGTCAGTTTCGTATTTCACTGAGTAACCAAGAGTTACCGGGCAATTGCAAGAGATTTAGTTAAGAACTAATACAACGCTGACCTTCGTCCGTATTTTCTGTTGTTGTTGTGTTATGTTTGCTTTTTTTAACCGAAACTATCAAAAACAACGACTTCATTCTTAAAAATTTTAGAACGGCTTATTTTATTAGCATTCGAGTGCAGTAATACGGAGCCGATATTAACTGAGTGACGTCATCATACAGAAAGGAGCTGCCTACTTCTTTGTTAATCTTATAAACAAATATATCTACAGAGTTATTACTTGAAACATTTACAATTAAAAGACCACATATGGTTGACAAGAACGGCCAAAACATTCCAGTGTAATTAATTCACCATGACGAGCAAATAACACTTAATGAGCATTCCTTTGGTGTTTAGACACCGATATCAACGCAGAAATCATCTGCTCTGTTTCCTGTACATGTTTCACCAGGTTTGAAAATTCTACGTTATTTAACGATCAGTGATAAGCTTCTTGGATGTTTCTGTATGCTTCTCGTTTTGATTTTGTGAGCAGTAAGAAGGTGAAAAACGTTTATCCAAAAACGTAATGTCCTCAACTTGATAACGCCTCGTCGTAAGTTTGCAGACAGTTTTAAAGATGTATTCTCCTGGAAGTTTGGATGTTTTATTTGACAGTGCACAACCCCATCGCAATATGCATTTAACATTTTAACGCACATTCTGCAGGATGTCTGGCTTGTAACAATGATGCTCGGTGATATGGCGATCAGCATGGACTTTCTCCGTAACTCGCTAAAACAAAGTCAGTTGTTGAGATTATGAGATTCCCAAGATCAATTGGTTATTAATTAATGTTAAAAACAGAAACCAAATTACAATTTGAAGCGACTCTTTTAACATATTGTACTTCAGTCTTACCTCATGAAACTTTAGCCTATCTTTGAATTTTGCATACCTTATAATAAAGGCTACTGCAGGAGAACATTTTCAAATGCCATCGACCTAAACCTGTTTTTTTTCTAATTCTTCTTGTTCTTCTAATTTTTTTTTTTTCACGACATTGCCTCGCAAAAGAAACGTGAATAAAAAAAGTACAACAAATGAGCAAAACAAAACAAAAATGCTTATTGCGCCGTTTGAACAAAGTTTATAATGAGCGTGATCTGGAGCCTTTAGTATTTCGAATTTCGCTATTCCAAAATGAAAATCCCTTATCTATGCAAAAAAAACAGTTGTTTTTTTTTCAGTCAAAAATACTGAATTAAACAAAGAACGTTCCAATTTCTTTTCTCATTGGTGACAGTGAATTCGTCATGTCACGTGGTTGGATCTTCTTTTGGATCGCACTCTTTTGCCAGGGGCTCACATGGGGCCGTGGTGCCCAGTCCCAAACTGGCAAAGCCAAAGAAACGTCGCCAGCATTAAGAAAACGTTGGTGGTTCATGAAAACATGCTCAGGAGATAAGCCTGGAGGACATGCATGGAATAACGATTGGGATGCGCCCTTCAGCTTTGAGTGTCCACCAGGTTGGTTCATCTTAGGAACTGGTCAAAAAGTGTAAGGGGGGCAGGGGGGTGGGCCGGAGCATTTGAAAAGATGGTGACTAAAAAACAGATGACCCACCCCTTCCATTTGGCACAAAAACCGACCAACCCACCCCTAAATGAAGGTTGAAAATCACATGACCCACCCGCTATAAAACATGACATTTTGGTTGCATAATCCCAAAAAATTCACATTTTGTGTATGAACTTGTAGTGTTATTTACGTTTTAGATGTATTACTTTACAATAACACAAAAGCATCTAAAAATAATATTGTTTCCCTTTACTCTTGCAACTTTAAGTCATGTCCATAAATTCTATAAAAACCTTGACCGTGAGCCTTGCACACCCAGCTTCCAGCCTGGTTCGCGTGGAATAGTGATCCATCTCGAAAAAGGCTGTAGTGAGTCCTACGACTCACACAAGTGTAAGCCCTAGAAATGAGTCCCGTACCCTTGTGAATAAATAGCATGTAGACACAAGTTGACCAAAATTCAACAAAATCTATTTTAGTTGGGAGCCAACAAGAAAACCGAATAGTTTATTAACCCCCATGCTCTGACTTTAATATTTATAAATGCTGCCAACATGAATTGTAAACGTTAAAAATTGTAATTTAATTTATAAATGTAATCTGTGAGAAATAAAGTATGTTGTTGTTGTTGTTGTTGTTGTTGCCTTAATACCACAGGAAACAATACAGCAATGAAATGTAAAACAAAAAACAAACATTTACATATTATAAGATACATTAGATATGAAGACAGAAAAGAGGACTGAGAGTTTTTTGTTCTTATATAATAATAATTACGGCTTGATGTGTACAAAATTTAAATGTGTGGCCGACTGTTCCAGTGGTTCAAGAACTTTCAATATCAGTCTTATGAAATAGGATGACCCACCCCCCATGAGTAGCTGAAAATTGAACGACCCACCCCTTGCCAACAACAACAAAAACAACTAGCTTTATTTGCATGACCATAAATACATACAGTGTTGCAAAAGCTTTTGTAAATTAAAACTAAAACATTAACTATTATCGTGATCATATAATAAATAATGTTATGATATAGCAATCAAGGTACATTGGTTTGATTTTAAAGTAGAATATCGCATAGATCAAAGCAAGATAAAACAAATTTTGCTAATTGAATATTAATGTAATGATTTGAAGAAGTCCTAAGTTCGCCGATGGCTTGTAACGAAGATAATTGTTTAAAAATCGGAACATGTTTTTATAAAATTTATCTCTTAGAATAGAGTATTTATTGCAATATATAAGAAAATGAGATTCGCTTTCAATTTGATTATATTACCGAGGACTCAAAAACTGATGGCCCATCCCTCTCTGCTCCAGCCACCCACCCCCCAATACTTTTTGACCAGACCCTTAGTTAGCTGATACTAAGGAGGGGCGTTTCATAAGAACATCTTCCGTGAGCAATATGGAATGTTTACTTTAATTATAAATTCCCAGGCATGCATATTGCTCTAAAGGCCCTCTGTTTTGCACTCTTTTTTTTCTAATTCTATCATTCACTTGAAAAAGATTCATTCATTCTAATAGCCTGTTATAATGCCAAGCAAGGCCAAGAAAGTAAGTTGCTCTCTGCTTTGTCTTGCAGCTCAGTCCATTTCATCGATCTACAGTATTTTTAGGGACTGTAGGCGTGACCGTTTGTTTGAGTTTAAGTGCAAACACATCTCTGCCGGTGGTTACTATACTTACCATAGCAACCATTGCCAATGGACCAACTACCTCAACAATTTCGATCAGCCAATCAAACACAGGTGTCCCGATGGGCAATTTTTGGCTGGTAAGTAACTTGAGTCCATAGTGCCTTGAATTATTTTAAGTAGAATAATTGGTTGATAAATTTAGATAGGAGTGTGTTGGTGTCCAATCTGCGCATATGCGTAAGGGCGTGATCACGCGATCGCTCGAGTGCCCTGAATTCTGGGCTAGTTGTGTGCGAGCAAGTTTCTGAAAAATGTTCTTTGCTTGAACTTTTTTCCTCTAACAGGTGTTGAGTCGTATCATCAAAATTACCAAGAAGATCGCAGGTTTAAATTCAAGTGCTGTGGATATGTACATTCCTCGCACTATCGCTCTTGCTACAAGACGCCGTATGTGAACAACTGGAGAGGAGTGTTGCACTATGAGGTCCCGAACTTTCACTATCTTGTTGGTGCTGAAAGTGTTCACTGGAACAGTAAAGAGTTAGTAAAATCCTTTTTAGCCTTGTTTTGGTCACCTAGGTGCTGGTGAAGCCACAGGGAGCCCTTCTTCTTCTTCTTCTTCTTCTTCTTCCTCCTCCTCTTCTTCTGCTTTCGCCTTTATGTTCTATTTATTTGGACCATATCCTTATTTCTTATGCAATACAAGATAAAATGCCTTACCCGCCTCATTTATTATTTCAAGTATCCTTCGCACATTCCATACCTAAAATTCGCTTCTTGTGTCCGTTTCACATGTTTTAGATATGGTTCTGGATTTCCCCCTCGCCCCCCTCTCCACTCGCTATTATCGCCGGTACCAGCATTGGTACGTGTGTCTTCGAGAATGCTAAGTTAATCTTTATCCCATTATGAAAAATAAATACTAATTCCGCCCTTAACCTCTTTCAGGGATCGCCGCTGGAAGTTTGAAGTGTGCAAGATGCCATAGATCATAATCAACAGTCGTAGTAGTCAGCAGTCTCTCTCATTCATCTAAATCTTTTACGTAGCTATCACTAGGGACCAATCCTTTCCGAGCCTCAAGCACTGTTTTTAAATTAAAAAAACCTGCATGTGGATGTGTGTTTCTTCACTCGGACCGTCGTTGGAACCTTGTAGTTGTATGAATGGCTGCCCCTTGGTCTCTCAAACATGACAAAAGAGATTTGTTTTAGTCATAGCTTCTCTTCCTATCTTCGTAAAGGGGAGGTGCCTTGGGCGAAAATTGATCAGCGCTTAGGAATCCGCGGCACGGTCGAGCGGACCGGTTTCCATTCCTGATAAGGGGTCTTTCCAATATGGTATCTGAGCCAAGGCTCTTTAAGGTTGGTTTCCATACAATCATCCCGGCCCGACTGGGTTGATCACTCTGGTCGTTTTAACTTGGTTCTCACCATCAAGACGATGTCGACAAAGGGGATGATTCAGAACGCTAACGATTGCTTAGCTCACTTTTAATTCAATTTTGACAATCGGACAAAACGTGAGGGATCATCACTGATTTGTTAGAAGCCATTGTCAGGTGACTGGGACGATCACAAATTGAAAACACTGTGTCATTTCCAACAGGACCATATAAAAAAGACGGCCGTTTCTCTTAATTAAAATTGAAAACTCGGCCAGCGCACTGAGATATTGATACAACATGCAGACTTATGAAGCAGTGCCTAAAGTAGAATCTTACAAGCTCAGCTGCCGACCACTGACGGCACGGTCTAGACATAAAGAGCCTCCAATGTTGTAGCAACATAGATTTAAACTGGAACGAAGATTTTTATCTCTAGTTTTAAGATATGTTTTTACGAGATTTCCGTCTTTTATTTCGTAAAAAACGCTCAGTCGGATCAACGTTTTTTGCTCCCCGAAAGTAGCGAACCCCCGAAAATAAGGAGCCTTAAAGGCTTCTAATCCCCAAAGTAACGAGGGTCGTTACTCTTGGAAGTTTACGGAATACGACCGGTACGTGCCGGGGAATTAACAAGCCAAAATTCGGGGGAGGGTAACCTGTAATTAATGGCCAAGCACTCCATCCTGGGGGAGTAGCAACAATCTTCTTTGCTAGGAAAACTGGAATAAGCTTTGTTGTTGACCAGCGGTTGACCTCAATGCAGACTTTATGTAGCGCTCTTTCGTGATGCTCATATTTTGTCAACCCTTGTCTGCATTTAGTATTTATTATTCACAACAAAAGTTAAACGCCCCCAGGATTCCCTGACTTGCCCCTTTTCTTTTACACGTTGTTGACACAATCATTTGATGTTTGAAAGAAAGAAGATTAAATGTCCGAAAAAACAAACAGCTGAAGTTGCCACCTTATTTAAGGAAAGTAAAGTTCATTAGTAACTGACAAGAGCTGTGCCTGAGGTGAAAGGCTCTCGCTTTATTCCAGGAGGACATAGAATATCTTTTAAGGTGAGTATCAGATGGGATACATTATCATTCTTTATCCATAAACCACTCCGTATCAATCACTAGTTATTACTCTGTTGAGTAAACATTCCAATTAAGTTTGCTATAAGCTTTGCAGAATTTGCAATTTCTCTGTTAATTTCGGAGGTGAAACCTTGCAAAGCTGTCCTTTATTACGCGGTCTATTAAGAAACTACGCATCCTTAATTAACATTACAACGGCTTTGAAGTCTTGGCTTATTGTGTGAGATCTTACTTCATAGCATAGAATGTCATTTCTAGGAAGACTCCCAGACAGGGAAGGGAAGTGATGGTTACTAATTTCACATTCAAGTTCCACTATAGTCTTTTTGCGACAACCCCAGCCTTATGAAACGTTACGGTATTTCTTAGCATTGAGATTGGCGCCTACTTTTCTTTGTCGTTGACCTTATATCATGATGAAATGAAAGATTTCGAGCTTATAAGCCGGAATCTATCTTCCTCTGGTTAACCACTGAAGATGTCCTAACATTTTCCTCAGGCAACGTAAACATTTTTTTTAAGGTAATATTTTTTCACCGGCTGGTAAAAAATCGTTTTGTTGGTCGGTCGAAATGGAATGTCAACCCCACTTCGCGTAAAGTAAATGTTCTGACGTCAGATTTGATACTACAACTGCATGAATGACAACCTTGTCAGTTTAGTATTTCACTGAGTAACCAAGAGTTACCGGGCAATTATAGTAAGAGGTTACAGAAAGCGTTATAACTAAAAAAACTCTGTCCTACGTCCATACTTTCTGTCGTTGTTGTTTTTTGTTTATTGGCTTACTTTTTTTACAATGAATATCAAAAACAGCAACTTAGCCCCTAAAAATTTAAGAAAATGTTCTTTTATTAGCATTTAAGGGCAAGATACGGAGCCGATATTTACTGAGTGACGTCATCATACAGAAAGGACCGGCCTACTTCTTAGTTAACTTTAAAAATAAATATATCTACAGAGTTATTACTTGAAACATTTACAATTAAAAGGCCACATTTGGTCGGACAAGAACAGTTAAAACATTCCAGTGTAATTAATTCACCATGACAAGCAAACAACACTTTATGAGCATTCCTATGGTGTTTAGACACCGATATCAACACAGAAATCATCTGCACTGTTTCCTGTACATGTTTTACCAGGTTCGAAAATTCTACGTTATTTAACCATCAGTGATAAGCTTCTTGGATGTATTCACGTGACCTGTATGCTTCTCATTTTGATATTGTGACCAGTAAGAAGCTTAAGAACTTTTAACCAAAATATAAGGTCTTCAACTTGATAACTCTTCGTCATAAGTTTGCAAATCGTCTTTTGGATGCTTTATTTGGCAGTACACAAACGCATCGCAATATGCATTAAACATTTTAACGCACATTCTGTAGGATGTCTAGCTTGTAACTATAATGCTCGGTGATATGCGATCAGCATAGACTTTCTCCTTAACTCGCTAGAACGAAGTCAGTTGTTGAGATTATGAAACTCACGGTAATCGATTCCCAAGATCAATTGTTTATTTATGTTAAAAAACAGAAACCAACTTACAATTTGAAGCAATTCTTTTAGCATATTCTATTTCAGTCTTATGAAACTTTAGCCTATTTTTGGAATTTGTATACCTTATAATTAAGAATACTGCAGATAGATGTTTTCAAATGCCATTTTTTATGATATTGCTCCGCAAAAGAAACTGGAATAAAAAAAGAAGAAGAAATACGCAAAACAAAACAAAAATCCTATTGAGCTCTGCGATGTAGTTAGCATAAAAGTTCTCTTTATGGTTTTGCTTTCATTTATGAACAACGTGAACCGGGTTTCGGAGCGCTTTATCCCGAGAAGAAAAACGGTTTTTTTTCCTTCCAAAAATACTGAATTAGACAAAGAACGTTCCAATTTCTTTTCTCTTTGGTGACAGTTAATTCGTCATGTCACGTGGTTGGATCTTCTTTTGGATCGCACTCTTTTGCGAGGTGCTCACATGGAGCCTTGGTGCCCAGTCCCAAACTGGCAAAGCCAAGGAAACGTCGCCAGTATTAAGAAAACGTTGGTGGTTCATGAAAACATGCTCAGGAGATAAGCCTGGAGGACATGCATGGAATAACGATTGGGATGCTCACTTTCGCTTTGAGTGTCCACCAGGTTGGTTCATCTTAGTCCGCTGACGCTAATGAGGAGCGTTTTGCATAGGAACATCTTTCGTAAGCAATATATGGGATGATGAACGGGTGACTAAATACTCCAATAGAAATAGTAAAGTTTGGTTGTCTGACGTTTCGATGTTGCTGACTCTATCCGCGCGAAAGTATTTACGTGAGATCAGAAGCAACTGTCTATTACACTAGTTCCACAAATTTATATTCAAACCGCGATAAAACTGTCATTTTTACCTTAACAATGATGTCAGCAACATCGAAACGTCGGACAACTATAATTTTACGATATATGGAATGCTCACTTTAATCATAAATTCTCAGGCATGCATAGAGTTCGAAAAGCCCTTTATTTTGCAAAGCGCTACCTCATGCTTTAATAGTAGATTTTTTTTCGTATTTTATCATTCATTTGACAAAGATTCATTCATTCAGTGAATAGAATATTATAAGAATGTCAAGCTAAGCCAACAAAGTCAGTTGCTGTCTGCTTTGTCTTGCAGCTCAGTCCATTTCATCGATCTACAGTATTTTCAGGGACTGTAGGCGTGACCGTTTGTTTGAGTTTAAGTGCAAATACACCTTTGCCGCTGGTTATTATGGTAACCACTGCCACTGGACGGGCTACCTCAACGATTTTGATCAGCCAATCAAATTCAGGTGCCCCGATGGGCAATTTTTGGCTGGTAAGTAACTTGGCTCCATGGTGCTTTGAATTATTTTGAGTAGAATGATTGGTTGATAAATTTAGATAGTGAGCGTGCGGGTGTAAAGTGGGCAAACTGAATCGGGGCAGATGCGTAGGGGCGTGATCACATGATCGCTCGAGCGACCTGAATTCTAAGCTAGTTGTGTGGGAGCAAGTTTTTAAAAACATTTCTTTTCTTGAACTGCTTTCCTCCAACAGGTGTTGAGTCGTATCATCAAAATCATCAAGAAGATCGCAGGTTTAAATTCAAGTGTTGTGGATATCCAAATCCACAGCATTATCATGTAAGCTCCTGCTACAAGACTTCCGAAGTGAACAACTGGAGAGGAGTGTTGAACTATGAGGTCCCGAACTTTCACTATCTTGTTGGGGCTGAAAGTGTTCACTGGAACAGTAAAGAGTGAGTGAAATACTTTTCAGTTTATTGTTTCGGTCACCTTGGTGCTAAAGGAGCGATAGTGTCCATACGAGTACATACGATTACATACGAGTGAAATACGAATGAATAGTTAATACTAATTCGACCCTTAACCTCTTTCAGAGATCGCCGCTGGAAGTTTGAAGTGTGCAAGATTCCAGCTGAGCCATAGATCATGACCAACAGTCGTAGTAGTCAACAGTCTATCTCCTTCATCTAAATCTTTTACGTAGCTATCAATAGAGACCAACCCTTTCACAGAATCATGCATGTTGAGCGAATGTATCCGGAAAAAATAAATTAAAAGAAAACGAAAAAATGAGAAAAAAACTGTATGGACGTGTCTGTGTGTTTCTCCACTCGGCCCCTCGTTGGAATCTCTGTTGCAGTTGTATGAATGGCGGCCCCTTGGTCTCTCAAACATGACGGAAGGAGCCTTAATTTTATTGTACCAAGTGTAGCTACGAATACTTATTCTCCTTGCTGATTTTAGTATATTTGTTATGACAATATAGTGGTATATTACATGTAAGAGGGTATCCTCACAACATAGACATTGATAGTACTTCGAAAGGACTTTTTTTTAAGAATTGCCGAAAGTAACTATTTGAGGAAGAGGGAAACCTACTGCTGAAGTATTGATAAACTAGATAGAGTTGTTTGTTTCTGCAGTCTGAATGCTAGTTTCCTCTTAGAAATAAAAGTCTATTACAACAAGGCCACACGTTTTACTATACTCGTGTTTCAACCTGTAGGACGAAGAAGAGCTTTGCTTCTACCCTTGGATATATGGGTTATTGACCGAGCATGGGATCAAGATGGCTGGATATTGACCAAGTTGTTTTTTTTTTTTGAAAAGGACGATGCAAATGTTTAACCACCTTGACCGAACAAGCTCGGTCACTGAAGGGTTTATTATAAGGCAAAAGAACACTAAAAATCCCGGTCTTAATAACGTTTTTGACATTGAAACGGCCGCCAAAGATACTTTTGTGACGGGGTAGGAATGGAGGAGAGGAGGGAGGCTTACACGATTTACAGCGCGTCGTAAAAAGACGGAGAAAAGACGGTACAATGTACGAACAGCCTCCACTTCTTTGATTTCTATGATTAGGTCTCCGTCCACACCAATTCGTCACGAAAACGCAGCTTTTCGAGAAGGTGGCAAAGGGTCTTTTGCGTGACGCGTGATCGCCCCAAAAATAGCAGCATGATGCGTGATTGAGACCAAATTAGCCGTGTGACGCGGGACAGGACATCATGACGTGAAGCGTGATTTGCTATTTTACAAGTACGTGATGCGTGATTTACCAGTTAGATTTCCGTGATAAGTGAACGACCTTTGAACTAGAAGGATAGCATTCATTCAAAGTAAATAGTAAATAGAGCCTTTAAAATGATCATCAAATCGTGGCAGACGTGACACCATTTTCTGGTCCTTTTCGCCCTTTTCTTGACCTCTGATGTCTTTGATCTTCGTGGATCTCATGGTACTATAGGTCCAAACATGCAGTTGTGATACAATTTATAGGAATAAGTCAATTGAAAATAGTTAAACTTTGTACAAGGACTATGACCGATCATTTTTGGCATTGCATCAGACCAAGAGAATATGACACACGATATCCCAATCCGGCTATCGGATCGTATAAAGGTCTGAACAATTTTCGCCCAAAAGGGCTGAAACGATAACACACGTTAGAGTTTGGTGTCACTTTATACCGCTCGAGAAGACAATTGTGTAAGGTGTGTAAGCAGCGAGAGACTACACAAGGGAAACGTTTGTTTGCCACTTAATGAAGGTCGTCATAAAGACCTAACTGAATTCAAAAGCCACGTTATATCCTTTACAGACATAAAAACGTTGCCGCACAGAAAAGGATTTGCAGGTGTAAAGCTTTGACACAAATATTGCCTTATATTAGAGCATGCATATGACAAAGGTGGCGTAGACGTCTAATCAATTCGTATACAAGATCTCCGCCAACTTAGCCTGTGAACAGGCTCCCGATTGTTTTATAGGGGAATAATAAAAATGTTTAACAAAACTAGTGGCTTGTCGTTGTACACCTGGATGGATGTCATGAATTTCCTTTTAGGTATGCGAATCACATCATGGTCCTGGCATTTGATAATAAATTGCATACCCAAGATCTGGATGTCATGAATTTCCTTTTGGGTTCGTGAATCCCACACAGATGGTCTCTTACTAATGAATAACAAGAGTTTTAAATGTGTTGGCCACCGGGTCAGGCTTCGTGATGATGCTAGTAACATATAACGAATGTTCAACTTGATCGAAGTCCTTAAAGAGTTCCACTCCTAAATATTTATTTTGTTTACGGTGTTTATCTATGGTGCATTTTTCCTTCGCAGGACGTCCTCCGATTTTTTCTCTTTGGACTCATTGAAGAACACCGTCTGATTATTGACTTGATTAGGAGCCTAGGAAACTTAGCCCGGTCGTCCACACTTCACCGCAGAAATTTAAAAACGCAACAATCACCGGTCGTTTTATGTTTTTGTTTGAGGAAATCACGGCCAGGGAAATCACTGGTTCTCCTGATCCTATCTTGTCCGAAAAGGTCCGTTTTAAAATGTTTTCCGTCCACACGAAAACTCAAAGCCGGCGTTTTCAAATTCCTCCGGTTTGAAGAGCGTTTTCGAAAAGCTCCGTTTTCGTGATGGATTACTGTGGACCTTAGGCCTAACCGTAGAAACAAAGCGGTATATGCATTTTTAAATTCCTCCGACGTAGTGTGGACGGAATCTGGAGCAAACCACGACGTCAATGAGCACCACCAAACAAAAGGTTTAATGAGCAAGCCAAAGGCTGTACAAGTGTGTTCAGTAAACCTTTTACATTTCATAGCCGTCCTCTGCAAAACAAGAACGCAAAATGCCACGAACGTGAACGATGAGTCGAACTGCTAATTTTCGTATTCCCATTTAGAATTGAACGCTGTCATTACATATTTAGCCTGAGCGAGGTTTTAGAACCATAGGCATCCTGGACAAATTCAATTTTACAAGGCGTTGTCCTCGGCGTCGCCGTCGTCATTGTTAAGGTCCCTTTATTTGCATCTCGGATGCTGGAAGGTCGATACACTTGTTTAACGTGGGGTCTGTCATTCTAAGTGGCTGCTTTGTGCTTTGCTCATGTTTTATCCCAATACCAGTCGAATGCAGACGAGAGTATCGTGTAAAAACCGTAAGCTGAAAAATCACATAAATTGCAGCTCTTTGCAAAGGTTCTTTTTAATTCAGCGATTAAGTTGTCGAGCGTTTCGGTAGGAAGTTTTTCCCTCCTGCTGAAACAATCTCGTTTAGGTTACTTCGCCGATGCAATACCTTTTCATCTACCCCATTACTGCAATCGTCTACATCTTCTTCTTCAGTATAGCTTAAGGCTTTGAACACTTAAAGGCCATCGTCATCAATAACGTCCTTGAACATGGCCAGTTGATACTCGAAGCTTTCCCGCTCCAAACCAAGTAATTATTATAGTATTTCTCTTTCCATAGCTTCCAGTTCTCGGGGATCTCGCTACTTAATTGACCTCAAATCTAAATGTTGCGGAGACAATGATATCTAATAGAATAACATTGAAAATTGTGATGCTTTACGCTCGTAGGCATTCGTAGACGGTGGACGTTGTCGACGAATTTGAACTACCCTTTCGCTGCAACTTGTAATATTAGATGGCAGAGAGAACCTTAAACGAACGTAACTGCTGTAACTCAAGATACACAAGGTGAACGCGTATTTTAATATATAACTGCATGTATAGCATAAATTACAAAGCTGTTGCAGAACATAAGCGTGCATATAAAGAATGTTTGGCAAATTAGCATATCATAACCTTAAATTACGGCATGTCCGCCATTTTGAATAATCAAATCCGGCCGGTGTCAGAAACTCGTTTGTCCAGTTTGGCTATGACGTCAGTCCTTTCTCATTGGCTCACAGCCAAGCCTTTTGTTCTTTCGCTTTATAAGCGCCACACCACCCGGATGGTTGGGCGGCTAGTTAACTCCACCGCAGTATACACATCTCTCTTAATCTCTCTTAAAACAATACCCCCGGGATTATGGAACCATCCTAAATCTCATTAATCCCCCACATATACCTACACATCCTACATCTCATTAATCTCCCACTTATACCTACACAGCCTACATCCCATTAATCCCCCAAATATACCTACATCCTACATCTCATTAATCCCCCACATATAACTACACAGCCTACATCTCATTAATCTCCCACTTATACCTACACATCCTACATCTCATTAATCCCCCAAATATACCTACATCCTACATCTCATTAATCCCCCACATATACCTACACAGCCTACATCTCATTAATCTCCCACTTATACCTACACATCCTACATCTCATTAATCCCCCAAATATACCTACATCTCATTAATCCCCCACATATACCTACACATCCTACATCTCATTAATCCCCCAAATATACCTACACAGCCTACATCTCATTAATCCCCTACACATACCTACACATCCTACATCTCATTAATCCCCCACATATACCTACACAGCCTA